ATGTAAAACAATGTATTGCCTTTAAAACAAAATCAACATATGAATTAAAAACTATTGGAATATCAATGCGCAACCAATAGATTAAAAGAGAGCATACGATTTTCTTAAAAAAAATCACTCAAGGGTTAACAATACCAAAGGCACACACAGTTTAACAAAACAAATAAGACAAAAACAAAACTGTTCGTGCAAAACCAACTAAAGCTTTGCGTTGCTACTATGTTGCGCTGTTGTGCTGTTGTTGTTGTGACGCTCCTGCATATCTTTGCTTTGCTATGCTTCGCTGTGCCATGCTATACTGTATTGTGGTGTGCTGTATTGGGTTTCGGTCAAGTTGCACATACAAAAACGTACAGTCAAACATTTTACATGCAAAGGATATTTTGTTGGAGCTCCTCCTGAGTGTTTTCTATTTGAACCAATGGCATTGTGCATATAAATGTGATTATATATAATACCACACATAACACACATACACAAGAATACTTCTTAAAGCCGCAACCATATTAAGAAATACACTTGATAAAATGCTTTTTAAATATTTTTTTTCGTGTTATGAGATTTTGAAGTTCTTAAAACAAAAACAATTTGGTTGGCTTTTTTTAGTATAAATGTTTGTTTTATTAATTGTTTCTTTTCTTTGAGTAATGAAAGTAAAAACAGAGCTTGTTGGTATTATTTCAAGTAAGTTTGAATTTGGTTTTAATTTTAAATAAAAAATCTTGTTTAAAGAATTTCTGAAACATATACATATAAAAAAATTTGTGATTAGAATGGAAACCCAATAAGTTAATTTTGTTTCGTTCAATGGGGTGTAGCATACATTCAGGCACTCTTTGCATGGATGTATGTCAATAAAGTCATGCCACATAATACGATAGTAGGCGCCAGTCGTGGCTAAAATTACAACTTCTCATATTTTTTTGCTTACCTTTTGCTTATGTCAAAGAATCTATAGTACAAAGAAATGCCACGCTCATACAAACGAAATATCCACTTTATTATGCTGGTGGATTTATAATAAATCCACCCAACCTCAATCGAGTCACAACTGGTATGATGTTCAGTTTAAACTCATTGCAACCCCCAATTGTTTTTATACGCCTGTTTCTTTTGCCTTCTTGTTTCTATTTGTCTATTTTATTAATATACATTGATTAGTAAGAAAATGAATGGTAAAGAAATCCCTGAAACAATGTTTGCATGGACTTTGTTGCTTTATCTTCTTGTACTGGAAAGGCCCATATCATAGGAGTAAAGTGTAATATAATATATTATTTTTTTATTGCAAATAATGATGTACTACAAAAACTATTATGTAGGTATGTATGTCTGCAGTCCATAAATATGTATGTTTTTATTGCACATTTGTGCATATATTTTACCTCAAATGGAACTACTTCTTAATAGTTTGAATTTTTGGTAACTTTCTGTAATTATTTTAAAAAATATTTGCAAGATTCATATAAAAGTGTTTGAAAAGTATTTTAGAGAAACTAAAAATATTAGAAATGTAAGAAAAATTTTAATGCAAAAATGTGTAGAAGTCACTAAAACCACTAATAATGCCTCCTGGTTTGAGGAAACGCATGAATGTTATGTACACCGGTTTTTAATGTTAAAATTGATGATTACGATATTGCTTCGGAAATATTGCGCATGGACAACATTTAAGAATAAAGCTTCATAGAATGAAAAAAATCAGATTTGAAACATAAATAAATTTGTAATGTGTTTTTACACTACAATTCATACCAATATCAAACAGGGAATTTTGTTTTTGTTTTATACTATTAAATTCAAAAAATTAAAATGTAAAAAATGTACACAATTTTGATTTCGTCACTGAAATGCTGTTTGATCGCTTAAACATTTTACAGCGAACAAACATACAAACATGCGTATAATGTAATACAGAGGGTTGTATGTATGATTGAATACGTATGCAGTCGGGCTTTTGTCAGCCTTACTTGACTCACATATTGGTTTGAACTGAACATTATACCAGTTGTGACTCGATCGAACATTGTTG